ATAGGTAATTTGTGTTAGAGTTTTATAGAAACTTTTTTAAAACTTCCTTTTATATCAATTAATAAATAATTTTTAATATTAATAATACTTATCTAATTAGATTTTTCCTGTATTAAAAAACTCATAATAAATAGATAAATATGTAATTTGTGTTAGAGTTTTTTAGAAACTCTTTAAATATATCTTTGTCTAGTGTGATAGAGTTTTATTAAAAATAAAATTGTTAATTTGTGATAGAGTTTTATAGAAATTATTTTATTTTCTTTAAATATATCTTTGTCTAATTAGATTGAATTTTATTAAGAAACTCATAATAAAAGCTAATTTGTGGTAAAGTTTTAGAAAAATTATTTTGTTTTATATATCAATTAATAAATATTTTTTTATATTAATAATTATTGTCTAATTAGATTTTCTGTTATTCAAAAATTCATAATAATAAATAGATAAGTAGGTTAGTTTAAATTTTATTATTTAGATTTTAGTTTTTTAAATTTTTTTATATAAAAAAATAAATACTTAAATACTGAAACTCTTTGCACATCTAATAATAGTATAGATAAAAACTCTTTTTATATCAATTAATAAATATTTTTTTTATATAAATAAATAAATACTGAAATTCTGAAATTCTTTAGCATAGTTTCTGTATTTTATTCTAGAATTCTGGATTTTTATAATTTTTAATTCTATACCCCTTCCTCCTTTCTCTTCTATACCCCTTCGTCCTTCCTCCTTCCTCCATGCATCTATTTATAGGCTTTTTGGATTAGTAGAATGATGACATGTGTCCTTTTCTGATAATTATATAATCATAACTGGGCCGGGCTGGTTTTATTGGGATAATTATTCATAAAAAATAACTATTCTTTTTATATTGAGCTAAGAGTTTTATATAGAATGTGATTGATTTTATTAGGTAATTTTTAGAGTTTTATAGAAACTATTTTTACAAAAATTATTTTTATATCAATTAATAAATATTTTTTTATATAAATAAATAAATACTAAAATACTGAAACACATTGCATTATTTTATTAGGTAACTTTTAATTAATAAATATTTTTATTTTAATAATTCTTGTCTAATTCGATTTACTTTTATTAAAAAAAACTCGTAATAAATATATAAATAAGTAATTTGTGTTAGAGTTTTATAGAAACTCTTTTAAAACGTCTTTTTATATCAATTAATAAATAATTTTTTATATTAAAAATACTTGCCTAATTAGATTTCCTTTTATAAAAAAAACTCATAATAAATAGATAAATAAGTTATTTGTGTTAGAGTTTTATAGAAACTTTTCAAATATATATTTGTTTACTGTGATAGAGTTTTATTGAAAATAAAATAGGTAATTTGTAATAGAGTTTTATAAAAATTATTTTATTTATTTTTAAATATATATCCTTGTCTAATTAGATTTAATTTTATTAAGAAACTCATAATACAAGCTAATTTGTGGTTGACTTTTAGAAAAATTATTTTGTTTTATATATCAATTAATAAATATTTTTATATTAGTAATTCTTGTCTAATTAGATTTTCTTTTATTAAAAAATTCATAATAATAAATAGTTAAATAGGTTAATTTATAATTTAATTATGTAGATTTTAGTGTGTTAAATATTTTTTTATATAAATAAATAAATACTTAAACTCTTTGCACATCTAATAATAGCATAGATATAAAAACTCTTTTTATATCAATTAATAAATATTTTTTATATAAATAAATAAATACTGAAATATTAAAACTCTTCGGCAGAGTTTCCGTATTTTACTCTAGAATTCTGAATTTCTAGAATTATCAATTTCTGTACTCCTTCCTCCTTCCCTCTATCTATAAGCTTATTAGATTAATAAGATGACGACATATGTCTTTTTCTGATCATTACATAATCATAATTGGACCAAGCCGGTTATATTGTGAAAAATATCTATAAAAAATAACTATTCTTTTTATATTGAACTAAAAATTAGAGTTTTATATAGAATGTAATTGATTTTATTAGGTAATTTTTAGAGTACTATAGAAACTATTTTTACAAAAACTATTTTTATATTAATTAATAAATATTTTTTTATATAAAGAAATAAATACTGAAACTCTTTAGCAGAGTTTTTGTATGTTATTTTTAAATTTTGGATTTCTAGAATTCTCAATTTCTGTATCCCTTCTTTCTTCCCCCAATTCTCTATTTATAGGCTTGGATTAATAGGATGATGACATGTGTCCTTTTATGATAATTACATAATCATAATTGGGCCGGGCCGGTTATATTGTGATAAATATCCATAAAAAATAACTATTCTTTTTATATTGAACTAAAAATTAGAGTTTTATATAGGATGTGATTGATTTTATTAGATAATTTTGATTGATTTTATTAGGTAATTTTTAGAGTTTTATAGAAACTATTTTTATATCAATTAATAAATATTTTTTTATATAAATAAATAAATACTGAAATACTGAAACACTTTGCATGATTTTATTAGGTAATTTTTAACTAATAAATGTTTTTGATTTTAATAATTCTTTTCTAATTAGATTTACTTTTATTAAAAAAAAAAACTCATAATAAATAGATAAATAGGTAATTTGTGTTAGAGTTTTATAGAAACTCTTTTAAAACCTCTTTTTATATCAATTAATAAATAATTTTTTTATATTAACAATACTTATCTAATTAGAATTCCTTTTATTAAAAAACTCATAATAAATAGATAAATAGGTAATTTGTGTTAGACTTTTATATAAACTCTTTAAATATATCTTTGTCTAGTGTGATATAGTTTTATTCAAAATAAAATAGGTAATTTGTGATAAAGTTTTATATAAATTATTTTATTTTCTTTAAATATATCCTTGTCTAATTAGATTTAATTTTACTAAGAAACTCATAATAAAAGCTAATTTATGGTAGAGTTTTAAAAAAATTATTTCATTTTATATATCAATTAATAAATATTTTTATATTAATAATCCTTGTCTAATTAGATTTTCTTTTATTAAAAATTCATAATAATAAATAGATAAATAGGTTAATTTATGGACCATTTGGTCAAGCATAATTGATTATAGATTGAATTTTAATTTTATTAGGTAATTTTGAGTTTTATAGAATTTATATCAATTAATAAATAAATACTGAAACTCTTTGCACAAAGGCCGAGAAAAGTAGTACTACACTTGATCTTAGTCAAAAGGCCGACCCAAAAAAATTTAGTACTACACTTGATCTTAGCCAAAAGGCCGAGAATGTGTTATTATTATTTCTTTAGCTCTATAGTTTTATAAGAGGCTTTCATGTAATCTTTTTTTACTTAAAACCAATGTGGGACTTTGTAATTTGAATTAATTTTTTTTTTATATTTTGTTAATTTTAATTTTATTAGGTAATTTTGAGTGTTATAGAATTTATATCAATTAATAAATAAATACTGAAATACTGAAACACTGAAACACTTTGCACATTTAATAATAGTATAGATATAAAATAAAAAATAAAATAAATAAAAAATTAGTGCTACACTTGATTTTAGCCAAAAGACTGAGAAAGGTTAGCTAAAAGGCCGACTCAAAAAAAATTTAGTACTACACTTGATCTTAGCCAAAAGGCTGAGAAAGGTGTGATTAATATTTCTTTAGATCCATAATTTTATAAGAGGCTTCTATGTAATCCTTTATAACTCAAAACCAATGTGGGATAAGAAAAATGAATTTTATTAGGTAATTTTTAATTTGAATTAAACTTTTAAATTAATTTTTATAAATTTTATTATGTAATTTGTAATTTGAATTAAGCTCTTTAAATAATTTTTAGGTAATTTTTTGTTTATAAAATATCTTTTTTATTTTAATAAATAAATACTGAAATACTAAAACTCTTTACACATTTAATAATAGTGTAGATTATAGATTATACATTTGCATACATGCAAATATTGTGGATATAATTAATATATTATTGGTTTTTTTTTTTTGAAAGGTAAAGGTAAATTTATTAAATTGGAAAATTTACAATAGCCTGAGAGAGGCTATGGAGAGATTACAAACCCAACCCAAAAGAGCAAGCCCAGCCCAAAGAGTGCAACAAGCACGAGGGAGAAACAACCACCCAGTGGAAGAACAAATCAAATAGAGATAGCATGACTGAATGAATAGCATGACTTAATATATTATTCTTGTGCAGGAAATATGTAATCTTAAAGTTAATGAGCTGTTAAAGACAAGAAAAGATAACAAAATGAGCAATCATGCATGCATTAATATGTCCATTAAAGTGTCTACTTGCATTAAGTGTTAAAACTCATTTGAAGGCTTTAGAAAATTACTAATCCAAATTCTTAACCAAAAAAATTTCTAATCCAATTTAGTGTGGAGTTGAGCAAATGGATGACCATGTGGTCACTTCCATAGAATTTTTTTACTTTCCCTTTCTACCTGGAATTTTGTACAAATGTCACAATTATATGAATACATTTAATGTATATAATATTTCAATCAACTGGATGGAATGTGGAGTTGTTTCACTCTTTATTTCCACCGTCCATTGTGGCAAATATTCTAGCTTGTAGTTTCAGTTTTTGCTCTAAAGAGGATGCGTTGGTTTAGGGCGACGAGTCTAATGGTCAGTTCTCTGTTAAATTTGCCTATTACTTGGCTAACCGCATGACAAAATTTCCTAATTCCCTTTTGTTCGACAATTCTCCAGTTGATTCTACTCACATTAATGGATGGTGTCGTCTATGGCAATGTACCGTTCCCCCCTAAAATCCCGCTTTTTTTGTGGAAATGTTGTCAATTTGCTCTTTCGGTGCGTAGTCTTCTCCAGTTGCATGGTATGAAGGTGGAGCTTATGTGTCCTCGGTGTGGTTTGGGCGAGGAATCTATTGAGCATTTGTTTTTTCAGTGCCCTCAATCTGTTCATGTTTGGAAATTATCACCATTGCGATTGGATTTTATGTCTAACCCTCCAGGGTCTTTTAAGTAATGGTAGATGCATTTGTTAAACCAATGGGGCAGGGTACTGTTAACCAGAATTTGCTTCTTTGGATAGCTTTTTGTTGTTGGGGTTTTTGGAAAGTGCGTAATAGGTTTCTTTTTGAAGGTGAGTTGTTCTCTCCTTTACGCATTGTTTCCTGTTTCTTCTAAAGTTTGGGAAGTTAAGGACTGCTTCGCCTCTTCTGACCAGTCTTTGGCGTCTTTTTCAGGGGGAAAGGATCCCAATATGCCCGTTCATTCGTCCTCTTCCCATTGGTTGCCCTCTCTTGTGGGTATGGTTAAATGTAATGTGGATGCATCATTTTCCTTACCGAACCGGGTTGGTGGTGGAGGGGCTGTTTTCTGAAACTCCCAGGGTCAGATTATGCAGTCGGTGGTTTTTTCTCCTTTTAGTTCGTCTTTTGCAGGCCGAGGCTATCTTTCTTTGTAAAGCAGTCTTGTGGGCTATATCTCAGTGTTATGATAAGGTTTGGTTTGAATGTGATTCGTTGCTGGTGGTTCAGGCGGTAAATGGTGGGGATGGTGGTCTGGTTAAGATTCATTCTCTTTCTTTTGATGTGCAAGTGTTGTTGGAGCGGTTTTCCTATTCTTGTCTTAGTCATGTCCGACGGCATGGCAATGGAGTAGCTCATGCGCTTGCCAAGCTTTCTTGGCCTCATATTACGAGTGATGTTGCTCTTACTCATATTCCTGCTGATATTTTGGATTTGGCAGCAAAAGATTGTATCTGTTGATCTTGTTGAAAAGATTGTATCTGTTGATCTTGTTGCTGTTTGCTTGCCAGGACAAAAAAAAAAAAAAAATGTATATAGTATTGTTACCTTAAACATAGTTCACCAATCAGTTTCCTTGACAGCTTTTGCTTTGTGACTTGCACATTTAGAATTTTTGATCTATATGCACTTGTGCAAATTTATTTAGCATCTACATTTGTGTGATCCTACTTGTCATGACGATTTGGTGCAAAAAATTGCTAAAATGTATGCTGCTTTCATTGACCAACCTCTCGAAAAAGTGCAACAGTACACAATAGTGCAACTGGTCATGGATTTATATAGTAATTCAATGATGTACAATAATTTTTTTTTAAAAAAATGGTCACTTAAGGCACATGACCCCCCGAGCATGAATATAAAAAGCATTAAAAATGTACAATCATAAAAGACCTCCAAACTTTAATAAAAAGGAATAATATCAAATTAAACTGGTCATCAATGAAAGTATGTATACTCACAGGAAAAATTGATTAATTAATATGAACTTGTAAGTTGATTCTCGCTCAAAAAATTCCTCAGTGAAAGAAGTAAGGCATCAAACTGTTAGACCAAGAGGGGGGTGAATTGGTCTGTTTAACAATTTTCTTGTTAATCAATCCAAACCAAACAAACAAATATGAGGCACATAACACAAGGTATATAAGGAAACCCTTTCAATAGGGAAAAACATTGGTTTTTGGACTCAGCCAATAAATCATCCACTAGCTGCAAGTACTTTGTTACACACTCAGCTGTCTCACTCTCTGTACATACCTTGTACTAGTAAAGACACTAGTTTTCATAACCAATACTCACACACTAGCTCACTAATGTGCACACATGCACTCCCCCTGTCCTAAGCAACATTACTTGGACTCTAAAGCTCTCAATAGCTTAATCAACAATGGGATGAGGTATCAATGCTGATAAGCGCTGAAAAGTACATATTTAAACCCCTTAAGCTTGAGTATTCGAGGACCTTTATCTATCTTATTTTCCTGTTTTAGTACTTATTTGTGTTTTTGTCTATTTTAGGTCAATAATGTTAAAATGGGCTAAAAATGGTTTCTTAAGGCCTTTTTGGAGTCAAACTAAGTCTTAGTGATGATCCGGAGCAAAAAGAGGATGATTTGGAGCAAAAAGAGGCTGATGCTGAAAATCTGCCACGTTGGATCCATCCAACTCTCAAGTTGGATCCATCCAACTTTCTGAGAAAAGTTGGATCGATCGAAAATCAAAGTTGGATCGATCGAACTTTTGTTGGCAGCGAGCTGTCTTATTCCGTGCGCACCCAAAAGTCCACCTATCATATAGTACGGGATTAGATATTTTTGGGCTTATATTCCTGACTTAATGACTAAGAAAATGACCTTCTATATAAAGGGAAGTGACCCATTTTGTAAAGAAACTTTTTATCTTTTTATTTTTACATTGTATTTTTTATTTCTCTCTCTAGCAAAGTTAGATATTAGGGTTAGAAGAAAAGAGGGAAGTGGAGGCACATCTCAAGATCCATCTCTAGACCACTTTCTCTCTCCATCTCTAAAGCTTTAAAGAAGAATAAAAAGAAGAGGAAGAAGAAGATGGAGCCATATTTAGAGCTTGATTTCATGACCACATCTACCTCCTCTATGATTGGCTAGATCTACACTTAGGGCTTGGATGAGCCCTAAGTCTTGTGTAATCTAAACTATTGTATTTCTATTTTTGGGGATTTATACATATTGTTGTGATTAGTGTTCTAGGCTTGTAAATTTAATGAATCTTGATATATTTCTATGATTTCTATAGTTTAATTCTTCCTATTAATTCTCTAGTTTATTTACATGTCTATATGTGATTAAATTGGAAATTATTTCTCACATGATTCATATGGTTTAATTCTTCTTATTGATTCTCTACTTTAATTACATGTTGTCTTATGTGTGATTATTTGGGAAATAATCTCTACACTAGTTTTTCTATATTAATTGCATGGCTATGTGTGGTTGATTAAAAATCTAGTGATGGCTAAACATAGGGTTTCATTGAATGGGTTTGTCAATCAATTTGATGGTTTATACTTATGCTTGATAGGTTGTTCTACAATTTAATTCATGCTTGTAGGTAGGTAGACAATTTATGCTTGCTTAGATATTCCATGGCTTATTATTGCAAATTCCATGATTCTCTAGATTGATGTGTGCTACAATTGTTGCTACTTAGATAGGTAATGTTTAAAATTGATGGGTTGTGCTACACTTAGTTTAGGTAGACAATTCATACATAGATTAGATGGTCCATGTTTAATATTGCAATTGGTAGTCGCATTTTGTTCACAACAATGTATTACCCATTAATGGAAATCAAGTGGTTAATTATATGAGCTTAGTGGTGATTCCAACACCCTAAGACCTCTCTTCATATATCTTAAATCCCTATCTCTAACTAGTTTACTTTACTTGCATTTTAATTTCATTGCACCTTTGTTTAATCAAACCAATCTCTCTCTTTGCAATCTTGTGATACATTAGAGTTAAAGTTAAATTTCAACACGTATAATCCCTTGTGACAATCCCTACTCACTCTTGCTACTTTAGTAGTAGTGTTGGTAGTGGATTTTATAAATTTAAACTTGACCCAAAAGGCTTTTCTTAAACCGCACATTCACTACATCAATTTAGTGTATATCAAGCGGCCGTCATCAAATTTTGGCGCCATTGCCGGGGATTAACGGTTTTGTTGGAATTAAACTAGACAATAGTGTTCATTTGATTGCTTCTATTTTTCTTTTATTTTCCATTATATATTATTTTCTCTTGTTCTCATTATTATTTGTTCAATTAGGTACTTGACTACAATGAAGGTAAGCTTTGGAACTTGAAGCACTAATTGGAGCTCAAAGCTAAAATTAAAATTTGAAGTTGCCTAAGGACCGTTGTGAGCAATTCTTGGAACTCTTGTATTTTAATTATTTTACTTCTTTGAATGCTTGTGATAGCCCTTGTTGAGGCTCATTTTATTGCTTTATCTTTGTCCAAGCATAGGCCCTTGTTGAGGCCATTATTTGTTGCATTTGGATTTTAATTGTGAATGGAGGAATTGTTTGATCCAAGTTTGGGGGGAAATTATATCCCTTCACCTTATGCTCCTCTATCACATTTTAATCCTTATGAGATTGAGTCCAATTTATTTCATGCATCATCTTATTATGGACTTGATCACTCATTTAATCCTTCTTATGACTATTGCCCTCCACCACCATTTTATGAAGAACCAAATTCACCACCTTCTAGGTATTCACCCGGATTTGAAGAAAAAGTATTAACTTTACTTGATGTGCATATTTCACAAACTCCACTTATTGATTCTCATTCTCAAACTTTAGCCAATCTTGAAGCTAAAGTTGAGCAAATTGCAAGTACTCTTTCTCGTCAAGAGGAGGAGGAAGAGACAAATGAAAAAATGGCAAGAACTTCAATGTATATAGATGAGGATGATGAGAGTGAAGAGGATGAAACAAGTGAGCTAATGCCTAGCACTCTATCTTGTATAGAGGAGGAAATGGCAAGTGAGTTAGTGGCTAATCCAATAGATCATAACATGATTAATGAGGACTTTCCTTGTTTTGATTATGATTTTATCTCGGACATTGCTACTCTAGAGAGTGAGGAGATGTTGACCACACTTGAGGTAGGAGAGAATGAGGAGGAACTTGTTGAAGAGGGCCTTCCTTCTATTATCTCCAAAGACCCCTTTGAGACATGCCTTTTTGAAATATATAAAAATTGTGGTTTTGACTTTGAAAGCTCCAAAAATGAAGTGAACTCTCTAATGGACTCCTTAGCTAATTTGGAAGGTGAGGAGATGGTTATTTTTGAGGAGGAGAAGAGGGATGAAGAGAAGGTGTTTCTTAATATTCCAAATGAGTCTTTGAAAGACATTGACTTGCCAATTCACATAGGAAGTGACTCTTTGAATACACTTCAAGAGCACAAAAATGAGGGAAGGCTAACCATGATTGATTTTGTTTTTAAGACCGTGGATGAAAGGAACAAAATCATCTCTTTCATTTCTTTTCAAGTCATTCTTTTGGAGGATGATTTCATTGTTGTAAGTGGGACATTAAATGAGAAAAAGTGAAAAGAGGATCAATAAGGATGTTTTATATCCGGTTTTTGATTATTTTGATTAGTGAGTTTGCCCAACGTCTTGTTAGAGACGTTAAACATTAGTATTCTTAGAGTTTTCAACTCTATTCCTCTCCTATTTCTTTTTATTATTTTATTATTATTATTATTTTTTTGTTTTTGTGTACATTCTTCTATCCATTTTTCAATCTCTATTTTTGTTACCATCATTGGGGCTTAGCATAGGATTTTCTGTACTTTCATGTTGAAAATTGAGCATTTTGCATAAGTTCGATCGATCTCAAATGAGAGTTCGATCGATCGAACTTCATACATGCATCAAACCTGCATCCAAATCACTCCCTGTCTCATCGATCCAAAAAAATCTTCAGATCTCAGTTCTCAGTTAGATCGATCAGAAGACCTTCAATCGATCCAAATATCAAGTTCGATTGATCTGTAGTTTCAACACTTAGAAAAATTTTGAGCCTGCATATTTCAGCTCTCTGTCAGATCGATCGAAAACATTCCTAGATCAATCTAAAGTTCTTTGATTGATCCAACTTCATTATTGGATCGATCGAGATTCTAGACTTAGAAAAATTTTCAAAGCACTGCAAATTTCATACTCTCTATCCCATCGTGCGAGCATAGATCGATCATGGTGTGATCGATCCAAGTCAAGATCGATCACAGCTTTGTTCCTTTGAATTTTTGACTTTTTCTTCTTTCTATTTTTATTTTATTTTGTTTTTCATCTTCTTTGACTTTTGCTATTTCTTTTATTTTATTTACTCTCTTTTCTCTTATAAAAAAAAAAAAAGTTTTAAAATTTGTTAAAAATACAAAAATATTTTTGTTTATTTTATT